AAACAGCAAGACTTCATAGTCGTGCTGAAGAGTTCAAGGTTCTGCAGCACAAGAGATGTTTTTACACAAACTTTTTATATGCTTCATTGAGAAAATTCATTTTTGCCTTTCAGTCCAAAGTCTGGCTTAAAGTCTGGAAAGTAATTTCAAAAATGCTTGAAGAAAATGAAAAGTTCAGACATAGACTGTTGACTAGCAGTCAGTTCAGTGAAGAAGGTAAGTAATAAACTGATAATATTTGTTATGTTAGAGAATACAAGCTATTGATGCAAGTCCTTTGACGCAAGATGTTTAGGTTTGAAGTTCGTTGAGCTGTTTATTTTGGGTAAAATGCTTCACAGCTCACAAATAATGGAATTCATTGCACCCTTTAAATGCTTGTAGCCATATTTGATTGACTTGTGTTAATTGAAGGTTCTATGAAAAGGTGTATGACTTTGCAAGAAGGATGAGAAGAGTGTTCTCTGCACTCTGTAAGATTTAAAATATGAATCCAAAACATCTGCAATTTTTTCTGGACATGTTAAATATATAATTAAACTATTGTTCTCAGACTGATCTAAGGCAGCATTTGGATGAATAATAATTTATTTCTTCACATTGGTAAAGTGGAAAATAGTAGTTGGTTTCATACTGGCAATAAATAAATTAGATGCTCCCCAAAGGTAACTGCAATACAATTTAACACGACTATCAAACCTGTCCTCACACTGTGCCCTGAATACAGTTATTCCATTACTGGCAGAAGGCGAGGGAATTAAAAGTGATGCTCTGCCCTGAGACAGCTTCAATTAGAGACATTGTAGTTGCTGCACAATTTAAGATAATGCAGTGTACACTCATGAATGTAATGGGAGTTTCTGGCCTCATGGTCTGATGAGTTTTTAGGATAGAGAATATAATAAACCATGAAAAGTTACCAGGTAAATTAAAAACAGTGTATTCATGTGCAGTGCTTCTGCTCAGTTTACATTTGGGCTGATAGAAGTTCTCCACAAGCATGCATGTTAAGAGTTATGTGCTAAAACTTAGGTCAGTTCTTGCCAGTTTTCATAAACGTTACATTGCTTCCCCAACATTCACCTTCATAAGAATAACAGAAGTGCATTTCTGGTTCAGAATGGAAATCTTTCTACTCCAGGGGCCTGACCTACGCAACCTACAGTGGATGTTGTTGGAACAACAGAAAAAACACCACAACATCTGCAACTATTCTGAAAATATTTACCATCGTATGGGAAAGCTCTTCTGTTTGCTTGAAAGCCAATTTCTGATTAATTCTGCTATTACAAGATGCAGTACATTTATTATGTGCTATTGTATTCTTTATACCAATCATAATTCCATTGGCCTTAGTCAAATTTTCTACTTTGTTCTCCCTCAAGCTGCTCAAATTTAGCCTATGAAATCTCCCTCATCTGCACTATTTCTCAGCTGTGGTAATCTTTAGTCTGTTGTTTCTGTCACTTAGAAAGCTATCTCTCTGCTTCTCTGTATGCTGTACAGTTCATCCATATTACTGCTCATTTGTTTGGTGGTAATTAGAGACACTAATTAAAGGCAAACCTAACGTTGTATCTGTCTCATGCTTGCACAAGTAAGTAGCTGCACTAAGAACTCCATGGAGGTGAGGTGGGTACCCTTCCTCCTGGGCTCAATGGTTCCTCCCAGCCGGGGAGGTTTGCCTGGATCAAACAGGAGCCTTTCACAAGAGGAGTCTTAGGATGTTATCCCTTGATAAACCTGTTGCAGGAGCCTCTGTAAAACTGTGCTTCTCTACCTAACTTAAAGGTTTTTGGTCCAGCAGCTTCTATGCGCTTTCTGCTGCAGCTTTTATCTCTGCAAAATCTTAGTGCACAGATGTTAATGTGTATGTGGGATTTAGCAGTCAATAAAGGAAAAAAGAAGTCTTCTAGGGTTTGTATTTGCTTGCTTTTAAGCAACAGGTGATGGGAAAAAGGAGTAGAAATCTTTGATATGTGAGTGCCTCCAAAATTTCAAACTATTATTTAAAAAAAAAATAAAATAAAATAAAAAGAGTGCTGCTAATACAAAATCTCCTCTTTGGATTTACCATCTCAACACTCTGGTTGCTGATTTGCTTTTCTGGTTTTTATGCATACGCAACGTGTTCCTTTGTTGAGCTTGTATTTATCATGGGACAGAGCAGACGCGGCCCATTCTCATTTTCAACACTCATTTCTTTTTGTCATCTGGAGGGAAAGTATTACCTTTCTATGTAATCTCTACGAACACTTTAAACAAATAAAGCCCCAAAGAAGTTTTTTTTTGTTTTGTTTTGTTTTGTTTTTTAAAAGGCAAAAAAAAAACCCCTAGCAAATAACAAGTAAAGGAAAAGCAACCAACCAAACACCCCAACACCAAACAAACAGGACAAACACAACAAAAACAAAATTAAAAAAAAAACACCCAACCAAGCATTTCTTGTGTCTTTAATTATGATTGTACTTCACTTTTCAGGAACTTTAATTGAGAATCTACTATTAAGCTCTTTTTAGCTGGTAATCATCAATTCTAACACCTTTCTAATTAGTAGATTTTACAAACACCAAATCATGGAGATAAGTCTCCTATTGTTCTGAATGCTTGATTGAATGAGAAGCAAAGGAAATAATTCTGGCAGGCTTTTAGATAGGGATCAACAAATCTGAATAAATTTGCATCATTTTTTTTTCCTTGATTAATAGATCTGGAAAATTAATGCTGCTTTTTATGGCTTCTATTAATAAATTCTTTTGAGAGAAACAATCTATGCGACTATTAATGCTACCTATTTAATCTCTGGAATGCTGCAGGATTAGATTAAGTTCAGTGAAAATGCTGATGTGTCTCCAACTGATGTTATCCCACAGGCAATGATGCGAACCAAAGTTCACAGAAGGGCTCCCCCTGGACAGGGTATGTATGGAGTCAATTGCCAAGCAAGATTAAATAATAAGCAAAATATTCAAAAGAGATGCACTGATATTGTTTAATGTTATTAATAAGTGCCAGCCTTTCGCTTCACTATTAATGATGTCCGCCTCACTCGTCTCCCAAGATTTTGAGCAGAGGGGGTATGTGCTCAGCAGGAAGGTTGTATGCACCCAGCACAGGGAAGTGGGTTTTCCCTTACAGAGGCACAGTCTGTGCTCCTGCCTGTCAGTTCTTTCTGCATGTTGTGTTAATGACTGCTCTTATTGCTCTAGACCAAGTCTGCTACTAGGGCTGTTTGCTTCCTCTCCTCCGCAGCTTATTCATGGCTTTCTCACTGGTGTGAGGAGATATTTCATCATACAGTTTCTCTCCTTCAAACTTCGAAAGATGAATCGCAGCATGTTTAAAAACTCAGGTCAATGTCCATATGGTGTCAGCATTCAAATACATGCACGCATTTGTTTGCCCTCAGCAAATACTAGAGGGACGTGCACTGTCTGCAGACAGAAAGGCACAGCATTTAGGAAATGTTTAATGTGTAAGCTTGCATGCTCATGTGATTTCACATTTTGGCTCTGTGGCTATAGAACTTTTTTTCTGTGATCCAGTGAGGAGTGCTGGTAGCTGGCCTTGAGAACGCTATCAAAAGAAATACATGTAGGTCTGTTCTGGGGAGGGGCTGAGTGGGAAGAGTGGGCATAACAGCTTGGGGAAGGAGAAACACTAGTGTAGGGCTGTCGTTTCTCTTAGGTGCTGTGGAAGCTTCTCATGAGCCCTGGCTGGCCCCTTGCAGCAATCTCCTGCACGTAGTGAAGTGCTCTCTCTCTGGGCTGCCTATACATGTGATGTGTGCCTGAGGATCTGAACAGAGCCTGTTTGTTACACTTCACATCTGACTTTTTTCTGTTGAAGTGAATGTACCGCTTCACTTTTGTCATCTCTTTTTCTCTAGGAGGAGTCCGTCTTTGGTTGGGTGTAGCAAGAAAATAAAGGACGATTCAGGCCGAAAGGAAACATAAAACTATTGAAATTGTTTTCATCCAGATCCTGCTAAAATTAGTGAGAAGACTACAAATGATTTAGATGAATGCAGTTTCTCTGTTGTTTGTTTGGCATGTATGTTTCTGCTGTTCAATAGGTTTGTTTTTAGAGTGGCTTAAGTAGCTTGTTACAAGATATTTGAAGTCATTAAGTCTGATATTTCACTTAGTTATTAGTTTTTGGAAGCTTTTTAGTGAGCATAGTATTGTGACAGTTTGCTTGTAAAAGAATAAAGACCCACATTTAGTGTTGATGTCTATTTTATTGTTTTTTTGTAGCCTGTCAGAATCGTAAACAATTTCAGTAAAGCAGAACCCCATGCAGCATATAGAAACATTTTTGTTCTTAGTGATTTGAATAATTTTGATTTTGTTATATTAAAGTAGCACACAATTACCTTTCTGCTCACTCATCCATTTAGACATGAATCTCAGCAAATATTTTGAATTTAGAACTAGGTGAATGTTTCCTGCCTCACTGTTCATCTTGAGGCCCCTTATGATATCATCATAACCAGAAGGCATTCACCTAGCTGATTTCATTAACACAGTCTCATTTTCTTCTGTTTTGGAGTTTTACGCTTAGACTCTTGACTGTTAAAACCTTTTAAACTAGCAAATTGTGTAAATGGAACACAAAGACTGCATACAAATAGTGTGTATACAAGCTTCATAGGTAAAACATTCACCTGTCACAATTAGACATCATTGGTTTCAATAAAAGGATGCTTTTCTCATTGCATAACGTCTTACTGTTTGCAGACACGGTGACTGGAATGTCAGTGCTGAGCTTTAATAACATGCCAGTGATTGTGTCATTAAGCAGCAAAGCATTTAGAAGGGTTTAATCTCCGTTTACTTAACAGCACAACTGCAAACATGTAAATGGCATGTGTCCTCCTGACGGCAGTTCTGGCATCAAGGTGGTTTTCTTCTGATTTGCAGTTGAGTAAAATTCTGATTTGACTTGAAATAGTTGACATTTCAGCTTGTGAAAGGAAGTGAGAAAGCAAAGTACTCAATCAAGACATGATCATTTTTCTGGCAGAGCAAAAATGTCACAGTTCTTTGGTATTTTCAAAATTCGTGTTTGGAGTTGCATGAATTTGGTTATTTGTTTAATAACAGGTATAGTCTTCCGGTTCTGTCACTGTAATGTTTGCATGAGGAGTACTTTATAGACACAGACTGTAAACTGTGGATTTGCTGCTCTGATGTTTCTTTCCTTGTAAGCTGCAGCTTGTCCCCTTACTCGCACAGATGGAAGTGGCCCTGGAGATGAAGCTTTAGTGCTTCTGCTGTGCTGCAGCTTTTTCATCCAGGTGTGGTGGTGATCTGAGGAGAAAGCCTACAAAGCATTAATATGCCGTATGACTTTATCCTTGTTAACATCTGTCTTCTTACCTACTTATTTTAACCCTTTTCCAACATGCCCTTGTTCCGCCATCACCCCACTGGCAGCCTACTCAAGAATCCAGCCCATGTCTGGGGGACAAGGTGGTGAGCAGCAGGGCTTCCCAGCCTGGGGGGTGTGTGATAGTGCAGGCAGGGGCCAGAAACCGCCTCCCAAAAACCCTGTGGTGGTGGCAATGTAATTAATTGGTTGGGGTCTGCTAATAGAAAAGAACTTCTGATTGGTGTTACTTTGAAAGGGATCTTATGTTTGAAATCACTGTGGGACAAATCAGCTAATGCAACAGGACGGGAAGATACCTGCTGGTTTAGGATCCATTTCTAACTCTTTGCATGATTTCTAATTTTTCTGGGCTTAGTTTCCAGTTCCTTCTCTAGCTTTCTGTTGCAGTGACCAGCTTTCTAAAGTACTGTTTTGAACAACGGCAGTCAGAGCAGTTAAGCTACTAGGAAACCAACCTAGAGAAGAATTGAACTCAGGATGTATGAAGAAATCCAACTGACATGTACACTGTCACCATCCTCTCAGATCCCTGTTGCAATGGATTCTTTTTTTCCTTTCTGTGGTCACTTAGGTAAAAACTGCAAAAAAGGAAATAATTGCTGTGTTGTGCTAAAATATCCTTGTATAACCTAAGTGGCATAGGAAAAAAATGAATTGTTTATACAGGAATAACTGTATTTAAAATCTCTTTATTAAAAGGAATCAAAAATAAATAAGGGAACCTCAGGGCACTGGATCATTCGCTTGAGATTCATCAAACAGCTGACCCTTCTCTGAAGTTTTTAATCATCACCGCAGAAGCAAAACCAAGTGTCGTTCCATCCTGCTGTGGATCCTGGGTAGCAGTGTTGTTCTTTCACATTCTTCAGAACACATACCAGTTACCTGAAGTTTTTAATAACAAATCTCACTTGGAGTGTGAACCGAAGCAGATGTGCGAATATAGAGGTCACGATGTTTCTTTGCTCTGCAGCTTTTTTTTCTCTGGACGTAATTTACCTTTCTACACAGAACAAAAACTAGCATATTGGGAAAGTTCAAGAACAATCCTTTCAGCTCAGCCTTGTGAACAGCTGCCAGAGATCTGAGGAGGTACGTTGTGGTATTGAGGTGGGATGGAGCAGCTGGAGCTGGCAGAGTAGCTGGAGGCGTTGCTGCTGAATTCCTCTATCAGTAAGCACCAGTGCCAGATTTTGTCTCAAGATCTCAGAGCTGGTCTGAAAAGACATTGTTTTGTACCATGTTTTTATAAATACAGATGACTCTGTAGGAAACTAAGTGATGGAGAGTAAGGTCTTCAGTTAGAAATTTACTGGTAAAACAAGTTTAATGGGAAACAGCACATTTGCTAGGACTGAAATATTTTGATTGGAAGTTTTCCAACTTGGTGAGTTCTTTCCAAACTGAGGTCCCCTGGCTCCTGGAGCATTTCTTGTCTGTCATCTTGGGAGCTGAAGCCTCTCATGTCTGCCCAGAGACACCAAGGCTAGAGGGCTTGAAACTCTAGCCCATGCTGTTAGGCTAGCACATCCAAAATCCTGGGAGTTGATCTCCACTTTGATTTCCATGCCTGGAAGTGCTAGGAGGCTTGGCCAGAGGCAGGCCTGTTGAGGAGCTGTGACTTTGGGCAGGCTTCCCTGGGCAGATCTCAGTGACAGGGCTGCGCTGAGTCCTGGGTGCTCTCACTGCTGCTGTGCCGAGCTGCTGCTGTCAGAGACAGTGCCACTGATCAGCTTGGACTCGGGAACTTTGGGATCTGTGTTTTGGAAGTGTTTCGGTATTTCTGAAGTGGCCTTTCTGGGAATTTCCAGTTTGTGGGCATTTTCAGAGGAGTTTCTTTCCTCCCTGATTTGGAGCAATGCCACCAGTTCAGATAAAACCACATTTCCTGCAAACTGGAGGCTTGGCTCGCCAGGCAGCTCTACTACTTGTGCCCCATCTGCTCTGGTGTTGAGATGAATCAGATTCTGCTGCCCTAACAGCAGTGATTCTGCAATCCTATGGCCTGTGAGGCTATAACTTGGCCATCACCAAGGCTAATCGTATTTCACTGCTATTTCCTTCCATAAAAAGATTTCAGCTCTTGAGAAAAGTTGAGAGCAGGATGTGAAGCTTCAACTATGGCCAGATTTTGGGAAAGAATAAGGTGACCTTTGTGTTCACTGAACATTTATACCAGTAAATGTCTTTGTCTTTAGGGCCTTTGCTGGTAGTCGATGTTCATGTTTTAACTTCAAAACATCTAATACCACTTTCCATGGCCTCTGACTAAAGAATAGCCTTCAGCAGACAATTCAATTCTATTCTTTGGGGGAAGAAGGGGACTTAAAGCAAATTTTGTGCAGAAGTGACATTTTATGTATGTGTGCAGTAGATCCTGATATATAAAACCAAACAGGATACAACCTTGATTTATAGCTCTTGTAAATAACACTCAGTGACAGGTTTGTGTATTATGTATATTTTCATTGCATAAGCACTTATATAACTGTGATGATAGAAATTTGCATAAAAATTGAAGAGACCATACTGCAATGAGAGTAGCATAATAGCATTTCCAGCAAATGGAAGTAGCAGATGAACCTACCATGTTAAGTATATGAAGGCCACAGTGAATTTTAACAAATGTTTATGGGAAGCTCTTCTGTTGTCAGTGACAGCAGCACAGACATCTGATGGGAAAAAATATATATACATTTGAAAGTTTTTCTGCTTGCCTTGTAGCTAGTGAAAATGGAGGTGCTGCAGGTGGAGCTGCAGGAGGTGCTTCATTTGTTAGAGGAAAAAAATATGGAGGCTGTAAATTAAATGGGAGTATGCCTAGATGCAGAGATAGGAGGAAAACCTCTTGGAAGATGCTGTATACTTGAACTTCCTGTTGTCTGTGGCACCTTTTAGGTCAGACTGTATTGCATCTTCTGCACAGTATGCACAGGGGCCTATCAGTGAGAGATTCTCTACTTCTTGCTCTAAACTGTAGGCTCACATGTGTCTCAGCTGAGAGATTTTGTTGAATTCTAAATGTTGCTGGGCTGAGTAAGAATATGTCTGATTACTGTAGTCTTACCGGAGATCATGACAAGAGTGTGTTCATGCATGAAATTTATTGCGTGCAGGTTCATTAAGGCACTGATCCATGGTTCCTTTCCTCCAGAATCTTTGCAAACTCTTGTATTTTGAAATGAATACTTAATTAACATAGCATTTTTTTTTCCTGTTCTGCTCTATGCTTATTTTCTTGTTCCCAGTGGATGTATGAAAGAAAGTCAGCATTGCTGATGGAATTCTGCATAATGGATGATCATCATAGCAAAAGCAACAAGTAGTTAAACCCAACTTGAAATACCTGTGATCACTTTTTACACCCTTTCATATTTAAAATTTATTGAATTCCAAGGTAAAAATTCTTGACTGTGATGCTAATTTTTCCAGGAAGGATCTCCCAAGGAAAAGAATGCACATGAACTTCTCGCTTCAATCTGTTAGCCCAGACTGAGCAGAACAACAGGGGCATGAAATGAGGAGCAGCTTAGAGCATGGCTGGGCACTGCTGAGACTTGCCCTGTTATAACCTCATCAGGTCTACTTGGGATTTCAGTTAATACGGTAAGATTGCTTTCGGTGTTGATGTGCTCTAAATGTTGCTTTCTATCACAGTATGGTGTTATCTAGAGGAGAACTTGGATGTGAATTTGTAACTGCATAGGTTTCTTGAGTCACATGACTCAAATCAGGGCTCAGTTTGCCTTAAGCTGTCTCCTGAATGCCTCCTCAAGCTCCTCTTGAGCTCTCTTGAGTGCTCTTTCGGACTCATTTTGAAATGAATTGATGGGAATGTCTGAGAGACAAACCCGATCTTTCATCGGAAGAGCCCGACGTGGCTGGTGTTCCAGCATTGCTCTGCCTCCGCAACTCTGGTTTCCTGAGACTGTCTTCATGGTGCGCCTTCAAGTTTTGCAGTTTCTCAACTCAATACTTTCAGCCGGTCCATCTATTTTCAGATACTTCTACTGAGTGCCTAACGCCACTTTTTCAGTGTTTGAAAGCAGATAAAAGCAATATTACCTGCAATAATTTATAAGAACGCTGCAAGGAAAGTGCGCAGTGTGGAGGAAATATATCTGAAGAAGAGAGGTAATGACCATAAGATTTTCACAGATCATGGAGCGAATACGGAAAATAATGTTCATGAGCATTGAAGAGCAGTTGATTTCTATGTTCAGACCTGGGGAGGCTGACATTTTGTTTACAAGTTGCAGAATTCTTGAATACAGTGAGAAGTTCTCAAACCTTGCTGCAAATACTCTGCCTCTTAAAGACAGACAATAATCCTCAGTGTAAACTGGTAATGAAAGCATTAATTCCACTTCGATTTGTTTAACTGAAAATAGAAAATACATCACGGGAGTCTTATTAAAATAATCAAGAGAAGCATATATTTTTGTTGACAGAAGGCATGTGGTTTTTATTCCTCTGGAGCCTCATGTTGCTCATACTGCTGCTTTGTCTTATTGCCATCACTGATTTGCTCTGTGTGGGTGGAAATGTCAGACTCTGTGTTCGTTCCATAAGAGCGAATTCACTTGTCGTGTTCACTTGGGTTTACTTTCGTGCTGTCTGTAGAGAATGTTCTCTTCTAGGATCTTGCTAGCAACTTTAAGTGTGCGTAGTTTTCCATAAAGCACCCTGCTTTTACTTATTGCTGGGAGTTGTGTCTCCCTGTGAAGCTGGCATTTGGCATAGAGGTATTTTCAAATTGAAATCGAACGTATGACCTGAAGTAATTAAAGGGATGGTTCAGCCTCACAGAGAAAAAAAAAAGTGGCAGTTGAGGATATCATGCAAGGGACAGCTTTGAGGGATATGGTATCTCCCTGCACACCTCCCTCTGCTACTTTGCCAACATTCTCACTTGGCGCCACCAAAAGACACTGCCTGAAATCTGCTCCTATTCTGAAAAGTCGTAAGGTAGAAACCGCATCTGCTCACTTATCACAAGTCCTCCTGCTGGGATTCTCCTAGTGATAACCTGGCTCTAACTGCCAGTGCTAGAGTGCTGGCAGATTGATCTGCATTCTTGGGGTTATACAGAGTATCCCCAGCAGAACTGAGTTCTGTTTAGTTATCAGATTTGCAGCTACATGGAAAGTATTTAGCAGTGGAAGAAATGCACACGGAGGTATGGGATTCACCTCATTGCTGCTTAGCTATGTTACGCAGAAGAGTACTCAGGTATAACCAACTGAAGGTAATACATTAAATTCTGCAAGCATATCACTGCATCCATGGGAGTAGACAAGCTAAACAAGCAGGTGCCTTACTGGCAACTTCATTTTTCATGGTGCAACCACAATTCCCATGGGTTTGCACAAGTGATTCTGGAGATATGAAGTGACTGTTTTTGCAAAAGTTGTTGCTGAAGACATTTTTAAGTAAGAGGATCTATCTACTTGTTGCTAGGACAGCATTTGGACAGTAGAACATTCATTACTGATGTTGACATGCATAAAAATAGTTTGGTTTTCAGGTCATGGTGCACATTTTCACACTATGAAAGGCATCGTTTTGCTTTTCAACAAAGCACTCTCATGCCCCTTTGTAATTGCCAGATAAAGATAGAAAACCACCGTGCCATTTCTGTGCAGTTACAATGGAATTGTTTCCTTTGCATTTTTTTAGTAGTATTTCCCAATCCCTCAATTGAAAACGGCTCTTTTGCTGAGAGAGGAGCCAGAGTAGTTCAAATATATGCATTCAGTAGAAGGTAACTGCAGAGTCTGTGACTCTTTGGATAGTCAAATCACTTCACGTGGTGTAATCTGTAATGTAATGAATGTTAGGGAAAGAGCTGCTGTTTTTTTTGTTTGTTTGTTTGTTTGTTTGTTTGTTTGTTTTTTATCTGTCATATGGGAAAAGGCTGAGAGTGTTGGGAATATCAGCTCTTCCAGTTGAAGTGGGCACTCCGCAGATGTTTCCGCTAGCCTGAGGGATGGGATGCATGAATGATATGGGGTGGTCTGATAGCAGCCTACTCCAGTGCACCTGCAGAGCTCTTTAGGGGTTGGTGTAGAATCTGGAGTGCTGATAATGTCTAGGACAAGACTGGGCTTCTGCTTTTTGTGCTTTTAGATTTTCTTACAACCTCCACATGTTGAAGGCCCTAAAGATCATCCTGAGCCAAATGGCAACATGACATTCATCTCTGCACAGAGCATGAGCAAAGGGCTTTTCAGGATTTATAACATGTTGGTTCTGACAAGGTGCTGGCACAGGTTGCCCAGGGAGGTGTTGAAGTCACTGCCCTGTAGGCGTTCAAGAGCCGTGCATGTGTGGCACAGTGGGCAGTATTGGGGTGGATGGGTTGGGGCTGGATGAGATGATCTTGGTGGACTTTTCCAATGATTTATTATTTCTATGATATATTTTCACAGATCCCATCCCTGATGAGTAATGACTGGGTGATTTCTGGTATCAGTGCAATCATAAATTATTGATTAAATTGGTACAATCTAATAATCCTTATTAGTGAGTGGGTTTGAATTGCCTCTTCAGACTCACAGAGCATAATCCATGGAGAATCATGATTGGATCCATAGACGGACTGTTGGACTGGATGACCTCTTCCAGCCTTACAGATTCTATGACTGTACGACAGACTCTACGATTCCACATTTTCCTGCCTCTTTGGGATGCGCACTGCCGCCTTTATATGTACGTATCTTTTCTTGGCGGGTCTGCAGGAGGTGTAATCTCTAATCTCAGTGAAAACCTTGTTGGGTCTCGAGTTGACCCCAAAGGCCACCTCGCAGCCCCCGGCTCCCTCTGATGCCTGCAGGGGGCGCCGGGGCGCGCGGCCGTGCGCGGCGGGAACGCCAGGGGGTGCCCGAGGCCGCGCGGGGGCGCGCTCGCGGCGGGCGGCGGCGGCGGCGGGAGGAGGGAGGTGGGAGCAGCCGCCCGCGCCCGCCCTCAGTCGCGCTTGCGGAGCCGCAGCCGCGCGCAGCGCTGTCCCTTCAGCACCGCCGGCACGCGGCGGCCGCCCGCTCCCCTTCGCATTCATTTCGTTGCGGCGAGTGAAAATTAAGAGGAACCTTCCCGCCTCCGCGCCGAGCCGCCGCCAGTGACCGCGTGGTTTGCAGTAAGTAGGGGCTGGGGGAGGCGGGAGGGGCGACCCCTGGGGCTGCGGGAAATGGGGGAGCGTGTGGGAGCACGGAATGCACATGGGTGCAGGTGCGCAGCGGGAGGGGGGCATCGGTCAGAGGGATGGGGCAAGATTTGGGGCGGTCGGTGCTGCTTGAGGGATGGTGTTGGCAATGGCGGGGCATTGGGAGCGGCCGTGTTGCACAGAGATGTGTTTGTGGGGCGGCTGCGTGAGGCGCTGCAAAATCCATGGGTGAGGTCAGCCTCGGTGGGGCATGTCGTGTGCCTGCAAAGCCAGGAAAGCAATATGCCAAGGCAGAGCGAGCTGGGCAAGGCAGAAATCCTCTTCCCGCTGCCCCTCTGACATTGATCGTCTCAATGGATTTAGGTCTGGAAAGAAAGGTCCAAGCATGGTGAAGCTGGGGAGTAATTTGAACGACAAGAACAGCAAACCACCATCCAGCGAAGATGGGTTTCAGACAGTTCCTTTGATCACACCTTTGGAAGTAAATCACCTGCAGTTCCCAGCTCCGGAAAAGGTAAAGCAGAACCCAACAGCACTCCTGCATGGCCATACACACAGACACTGGGTTTACTGCCCCATGGGTTCCGCTGCCCTGTGTCCATCAGTGGTCTCTGATGAGAAAGGCTGTGGCATAGTATCTATACAGTAAATAAGAGGGTGTCTTTCATGCCATGTTTATCTGCTTTAAAGTGGCAAATGAACACACAGCTGTCCCCTACTCCTTCCCTCCTCAGAAAATATCCAAATATTCCTTCATATGTATAAGTGGATAATGCTTAGTGTGTTTCTATTATGAACACTGGAGAAATTGAGGAGCAGTTTACAGTACGTAACTGTTATCAGTAAGATTAATTGCCTGCACTGAGAGTAATGTGATGACTCTTTCAAAATAAGATGCTATTTTAATTATCTCACTCAAGCTTTGTTTTCTTCTCTGTAGCTGTGCAAAGCTCTTTTGGGCATCTGTGATGCTGCTTTTTACCCATGAATTCCCCCATCCATAGGGTGGTGATGGAGCTATCCCACGTTTGGTATCCCCAACTGGTCCCACCTGCCAGGGAACAGCTTTCTCCCCATCCCACTCCACATTCTCAGAGCTGAATGCAGCACTAAAATGTCCAGAAAGGTGCCCCAGTGATTGGCTGAGGTTTGGAGGCTGGGGTTTCTTAGGTGCAATGCATATGCTGGGAAGTCTTTTGTCAATATTGATGCAGCGCTGGTGCATATCAATACAACCTGGTGAGGACGTGATGAGATCATAAAAATCTGTATGCCCCAACAGTGCTTATAAAAACAAAGCCTGTCTGCAGTGTAGTTCCCAGATACCACAGAGATGGAGCCAACTCACTCGAAAGTACATGACAGAATGATTAGATCTCACAGGATAATGGAATAATAGTAAAATTAACACTGATTATTATTGAATATACATCATCTTTTTACTGTAGCACACAATGAAATTTCTCTAAATACATTAGGAGAACATGATGATGATGTGATAAAACTGTCTCGATAGACAAACTTAGTTTATTTTATGATGGAACTGAGTCAAATGCCTTGACATCCTGGGAACCAGAGGCAAACCAGAGAAAGGAGTTAACTTCATTCCCCATGGGCCTCATGGCAACTAGGAGAAATTTTACTGCATTCAGGAGAGTTGTGCTCCCATGAATTGTTGTGAATGAGAGGATAAACTGGCCTTTGTCTATGACTCTCATCATAACAATTAGGCAAAATAACTTAGGCAAAGCAATATGGTTTATGACAAATGTCTGGGAAGGTCAGAGGAAAGTATTGGTGTGTAACAGTAACTCATCTGATGCTGGTACAAGTGGCTTTTTGATATCACACACACTGTTGCATGATGTGAAATATAATGGCTAGTGTATCAGGCGAGACATGGACAACCTAACAAAAATCCTTTCAAGCTAATAAAGTGGTAATGACTGTTCTCACGACCATCACATTCCAATTGCCTGTTGGTGCACAAATATTGGAGCGTATTGGTCCGGTGTGATTCCGTGCTGATTTTCCTGTTCCAACATGCCTACATCGATAATTCACATGTTGTTAGGTTACATTACCTTCATTAGCATACATTAGTGTCAATGCATCTACTGACATCTGTATTTTTCTTTGCTGGGAGAGTGGGATGTATCTCCAGGAGAGCTAAGCATGATTCAGAAATCATTAGAGTCAATGGTATTGATTCCTGCAGGCTGTGGTTCAGCTCTTGTGTGCAGTAGACCCAGAGTTGACAGTAACTGAAGATTTGTTACCAAAAGGAGAGATTATTTGTGATAAAAGCAAAATAATTCACTGCCTGTTTCCTTTGCACTTTGTAGAACAGATTCTGTGAGAGTGAGTTCACCCTGGGGCAAAGGGTTCACATAAAGACTTGAGAATAAGGAGTGGGGCCTTAGGTGAAAAGCTTGGCTGAAGGTTAAGTGGTGGGGGAAACTTAAGCTTTGTACTTGGAAAAGCAAAGCTGCTACTGAATTCAGTAAGAATTCAGTGAGCCCGAGGTAGAGCAAACATGGATTTCAAGTCTTTCAGAATGAATTTTTGTTTGGACTTGCCCTGCAGTCAGTAGGCAGATTTAATTATTAAAAAAAAAAAAAAAAAGAATAGGAAAAAAAAAAAGAAAAAGCCAACACAATACAGAAATCAATTTGACGTTTTTCTGTGTGTTTGCCAAACCTGCCAGCAGTTGATTTTAACTTGTGAGACAGGCAGCACAAACCAGGGTGCTTCCTGTGCCTCTTGCATGGAATGTTGCAGAAATCACTGGAGGTAAAAGCGGTTTGGTGCTGGGATCTGAGTGTATGAACTCAGACGGGTTTTACTGTCGTTTTCCTAAATGCAAATCCACTGCTGCTCGCTTTTATCCACCAGGAGGCAATGCTCCTGGCCTCCAAGCTTCTTTCAAGGAACATCTCCTGTGCCACTGCAGCAAAGGGCTGTATTCCCTGACATTTTCCTGTGGCTGAAATCTAGAGTGGGAAAAATACCCAAGCACCTGCTTCGCATTCCCTTTTCTGGGCTTATCTTGGCCGTTAGAGGATATCTTCATTTATGATGCTGCAAGCTCTCAACCCAGGTTTGTCTGTTTTGTTTTGCAATTTAGGGTGCATCAAAACCAGAACAAGGAGGTTTGGCAGTAGCTTGGGTCTGTGTGTTTGCTCTAGCTCCAGTCTAGTGAAGTGAGGAAGGCTCTGATCCAAGACACATTGGGTCTGTGCTGGGCAGCCCACTGCTATTACTGTGTGCAGTAACGCCTTCGCTTTGTGTGTGTATGGTGCACAGCAAAGATTTTCAAGCACTGTTAATACGTAGACCGCTGCTTTTTTTCCAGCTCAGTCTTAGACACATGCATGCACGTCAAAGAAAAACAAACCTGTGGTTTGTCAGCATACTAATCTGTGTATCTCCTGAAAAGCAACCCACAAAGCCCATGGCATCTACAGACTGAAAATCATTCTTCTGGGCTTTAGATATCTGAATTTTTCCTTGCTTTGAGAATATTTTTGTAAGTGGAGTTGGCCTCTGTAGTTGTTTCACTGTAGCTTGACCTCTTTCCAAATGATTTTTTTGTGTCTGTTTCTACTTTCAGAGAAAGGATACAGAGAAAGGCCATCAAAGTGAGACTTGCTCATGTGATGTAATTCCTGAAACCCATCTCTTTTCAGACAGTTCTTGATTAGAATAAATCACGTGGTGTAGGGGAGAAATACTTAAAGCTATGCATTAACTTACTGGCTGTCTTTCGGGCACGCTTCCTTAACTAGTTTGTGTTCTGATGTGCTGTGAGCTTGGCAGCTCCCCCTGATTCCCACCTTGATGCTGTTGGTGTTGATGCACCAAGCAAGGATGTCTCCTGCAAAGGCTCACATTCTTCCTTCTGCAGCATCAACATTCTGTCTGCAGCTGTATGGCTGAAAGGGGAAAAATATCCCCAGGATGGTAATTTTTCCCCCTAGGGTGCTAAGCCTCGTATGCATTTATATTTATTAACTATCACCAAGCTTTTCTCTTGCTCCTCCCTACTCTTGCTGGTGAGCATTTGCAGAAGGCAGGGACAGACACTCTTGAATCATTTTTGCTGGAATAATAGCTGTCACTGGTGTCAAGCCTTTGACCTAGCTTTTTGTGTTTCCGAATGTAATTTCTTTTGTATTCAAAAAAGCAAAACAAAGAAGTCTTTTTCTTTTAGGAGCAGAGGGCAGAAGGGTTGCTGTTCACTTGTTTTCCTAGGCGTAGGCAAAATGCTTTGGCTGTAATTGTGACGTGTCCCTACAATGATAATCCTAACTGATCTGCGGCTTTTCACAGCCCACACTGCTTCACTGAAATCTTAAATGAGACCAACAACCGGGGACTTCTTGGTCACAGCGCCTTCAGTGGTAATCCTGCAGGAAATGCCTCTGTTCTGGCAGTAAAAATCCTAATTTTACATAATACCGAAGTTCATGAAAGCTATTGTCAGGGCTGAAAAAAACATCCAGCGTGTCTTTTGTGGGGAAGGCTGCAGAAGGCTTATCATGTGGTCCATTGTTCTTCATTTTGAATGCATCTGGAGGCTTGAGAAATCATTTTTCTGGTGACAAATTCCTGCCATCAGCACAAGAAAGAAACAAAATTGATGGAACTGCTCTCTTCAAATGTGCTTCCCACCCTATGGTCCATCGCTTATCCTCTGTGGCTGCAGCCCATGCTGTGCTTTTATATGGTGTAATCAAGAATTCCTGAAAATCAGGAGGGTCCCTTGAGCTCGTAGCCTGTCCCTATTGGCTTAGCAGAAAATAATGTTTTGTCCTGGCCAGCTGAGCAGGCATAATTAATAGTAGGCTTAATAGTAGGCTCCTGTGCCCTAGGGAATACATGCAGCTCTGTCCTGAAGCCCTGATGCCTGCTTGCCTTCTGCAGAGCCCTCAGAGCAGCTAGGGCAACGTGGGGCTGGTTTGAGGTGCTGCTGCTCATTGTATGGGCAGAGCTCAGCACTCCCTGCCGCTGGCTGGGGGCTCTGGGTGTTGGGTTCCTGCTCGCCCTGCTGGAGAGCTTTGGAGTTCAGTGGGAGGGAGCAAACGGTAAAAGAAGTGATGGGGCAGGGTTAGTGATGGGGGCATTTGAAAGAAGGAAGAGTAAAAGGAAGGAGGAGGGAACAAAGGGAAAGAAAGCATGAACAAAATTTTTATATCTTTTATTGCAAATCTGAAGGAATGGGCGGGCTGTCCTGCCTCATTTTTCCCTTCCTGCATCTGGGGAATGATGTCTAATCTCCACAAATACCAAGCCTGAGCCTTCCTCCCCGCTGACATTTGTCCCCCTTCTGCACTGTGCAAATCCATTTGTCCTCTAAATGTGTGTTTGGATGTAAACACCGCCTCTGCTCATTAAGCTATAATAAATATTTGCAGCAACGCTCAGCGCTGGCAGTGCTGTGTTTCTGGGGTAACCTTTCTGATTTTATCTGCTCAGCTCGGGCAGCCCTTATTGGCGCTTCATGCTCTTCTT